TTTACTATGAAAACCAATTTTCATTGTCATTGGCTAAAGTTGATGTACCACTACTATATTTGGGATGACAACGAAGATGGATTTCATTTCGTAAATGCGCCGCCGCAATGGTATTACTCAAATTGATAATTTTATCGTTTTGATTTTCAGTTCTAGTACTATAATTACCGTCTGACCTCCCTAAAATCATACCTTCTGAATATGAAAAAAGTGGTTGTGACTATAATATAGAAGTCATGTTTCATAATAACAATAAGTTGGGAACTGAAAGAATGCGAATACAGTATATCGATATTGATTTTGTGATTATATGGGTGGAGGTTCGACTGTACTATTATTTTGAAGCTTATCGCAATAGTCATATCATTCAACTATGAAATTCTTGAAAAAACAGAATATTTACTTTTACTATAGAAATAAGAAAATCTAAATGAAATAATGAAATGGGGAGCATTCTTAGTTGATATTATTGATGTACTTCAAATTGATACTTTAAGTTGTAACTAGAACTAGTACTTGTAATATTCTATTGATTTTAAAAACATACTTATTCCAGATATTAAAATTCTGCATATTTTCTTAATTATTGTCAAAAATTGATTGAATAATAACAGGGTTTTATCTTTTTTATGGCATTGCTTAAAGTAGTTACTATCTGAATTTATTTTTAAATCCATAATTATTGTTTCTCTAAAATTCAAACCGGTTTCACAGTTTTCCGAAACTGAATCCGGTTTTAAATATAAAGCGGATAAACCAGGCTTAAAAATAAATGATTTAAGAGGTAACTCTAGTTGTAAGCTTTACTTAATAAGATCATTTAAAACACATTAAAAAATATTTAGAAAAGGCCAAAGATACATAATTTTGAATATAATATAGTCAAATCTCGAGGTGATAGTCACGCATTACGTATCAGGTAACTACGTATATATAAACATAAATGCTAAATTTTGTGAATTTCTGACGAGTTCATACGTATTCATAGTGACAATACTAGAGTGTAAAAGGTAATTCTCATTATTTGTTCTCGACGAGTCGGATAAAAACGCTTGTGTTACGACATTTTAATAAATACAGTATTACTTGGAAGAAATAATAAATACAGTATTACTTGGAAGAAAATACTTTCAAAATACAACCATAAAATTATTACTGTTATAAATAATTTTTACAATGAAAATCCAACCTGCTCAAGGTTCACTTGAACAATTGGCCATAAAAATAGAAGATTTTAGCACAGAAGTTCTGTACGAAAACAAATACACGTCGATAGAAGCGCCCCCAATTTTTCGAGAATTTCTTTTGCACCCATTGTTCGCGTTCTCAATATTATCGAATTTCTTAATTTTAGAATGTATGTGTTTGATGATATATCAAAATATGGTAAATGAAAGTATTTTTTTATACAAGTTTTTGTAATTTCATTTCTTGTTTTTGATAATTATAAACATCATTATTATTATATAGGGCCTGACTCAAATTCTTTACTTATATGCTTTTATCGAACTACTCGAACGATTTTATTGGTTTGTAGTTTCTATTGTGTTATTTGATAGACAACATAAACTAAGCACTTTGTTGACTATAACTTTATTTCTATGTAAGTTTAAGTTATTTAATTTTTATATATAACATTTGTGTTATACTAAAATAAAAATGAATTTTTTATTTTAATCAGGCAAAGAAGATTTTTTAAACTGGGTTGTATTTGATGAATCACCACAGAAATATGTTAAATGGTTTCAACCTGGTCAAATCCCCGAGAAATTTTGTGGGATATGTGAGTTTTTAATTTTTATTAAAGTGTTGATCCTCATAGTGATTGAAGCTTGCGCATTTAATATTCAAAATGAAAAACTTTGTAAAGGAAATCATTATTCTTGTAATAAGACGACAATTGGAGTTACGATTGCTATTGCGTGCTTATTAACTTTGAAGTGTTGTTATAGAATTACAGAAAAGTTTGAGTTTTATTAGCTTATACCTTTTAAACTCTCTATTTAATATCAAATTAGAATATTTCATTAATTAGAAAGTTTTAAATAAAAAACATCAAGTTTACGAAAAATAGAAATGGAGCATCTAGTACGTTATAGAGTATTTTGTTCGTAATGAAATAATTTGGATAAGAATCCTATAGAAACTATATTTTAGGCTCATAATGAAAAGAAACGAATTTTTTTAAGAAAGTTATATGTTAATATAAACTCCTATACGTATACATCTACATATCGATATCGACATACTGTTTATAGCGTAATTATAATCTGTGTTCGGCTCGCAAATTATATGTGTGCCTTTGCCTCCCCAACATTTTTATTAGAGCTCCAAGTTAGATTTAGACATCTGTTTCCCGTATTTTTCAGGGCTGATCAAAAAAATTGCGCATCCTTATTGGTTTGTCATGTGCATGTGATTAGAAACTGGGCACAGATTATAATGTTCGATATAGTTATTCATAATAAAATTTTTTACTTGTGAATATTTATTGTTGATTCTTGATTTAATTTTGTAAGCTAAATTATTTTTTTTATCTATATTCATTTACATATAGATGATCTAAAAAAATTATTTGTTTAATAGGATTATTTCGCGTTTATATAATTTTGATCTATTTGTCACTACGATATTTTCAGCAAATGGAAATGAATACGATTTCAAAAATAAAATCTATTTTGATTTATGACAGGAAAAAAAACTTGAAACACTGTGCGCGATAATAAATAAAATCAAAATATCAGACATTCTAACATTATTCATCTTTTGTCTTTTACTTTTGGAATTCACAACTCCGTAAACAATTCATGTGGAAATAATATCTAACATGCATGCAATCCAGCTAACCGTTGCTTTTGCCAGCTGTTCCTTGTTTGTTAATTTTAAAGTGCTAATTTGGATTATACTACGAAAAAAATATAATTATTATAAATTTTCCATGAATTCACTTGTTACTAAATGTAGGATATTTGGGTTAAAGTCTGATATGCTTTGAATCCTTCCTAATAATATATAACCTTTTAAATATTAATTCTTAAGAAATGTCGCATTGATTTACCGAAAATAAATTTATTAGAGAACTCTGAAAATTTTGTAAGTCAACTGATTTCTCTACACTGCTAATTATATCTGATTTAGTGTTAAAAACTCAAATGAGTTGTATTTATTTTATTCTAATAAAATCAAGTTATTGAATCAAATATTGTAACGTTTCAGATTTAATGACATTGCAAAATTCCGAAATTTATCGCATCAATCAACTTTATATAAGTATGTACATAAAACTAGAATAAGGGTATATGTGTAAAACTAGGGTAAGGATAAAAATTAGTGCTTGGAGATAAGATTGGTGCTGGCCAAAGAATTATGGAATCGTGAAAAGTTTTATGAAATAAATTCTAGTGTCATTAGCATACAACCAATGCTTATGGTCTTTATATTCATTTTAAAGCTAATAACCTAAAAAATATTGTTATTTCGATTTTAGGAAAATTGCTCTGCACATAATTTTTTAATTAGTAAAAGATCCCGGAAAAATTCCATTAATAAAAAATCTTCGTCTCTATAAAAATTATCTACATACCAATTTTTAGCTAAATTGGCGCGTTGGCAATCGATATATGAGTTCCGAATTTCAACATTAAATATATCGATATGTAAAAAATAATTGAATTAACTTACTAATTTAAATTTCAACATTCGGAGACTCATATCTCGACCGCCAACGCGCCAATTTAATTTAGAAATTCTCTAGGTTATTAGCTTTAAAATGAATATAACGACCATAAATATTGGTTGTATGCTAATGACACTAGAATTTTTTCATAAAACTATTCGCGATTTCATAATTTTGAGAGCCACTGTTATGAGTGTTAGTTAAATACAAATACGTGTGACTTGCGATCGACCAATCGAATGGTGAAACAAGTAAATACAATTTCATTGGCCGAGATCGCGGTTTTTTGATTGGGCACGTGTTAAAGTATGCCAAATTTACGGGACAGTGAAGGATCACGTGGCCTTAAAAAATCCACAATCACGTAATCACATAAAATTGACGTTAAAGGTTTGGATTAGGGTTAGGGTTAGATCTGAAGATAAGGTTATATGTAAAATTTGCTTTTCCAACATTTTTATTAGTACTTCAAGCTAGATTTTGACATCTTTTGCCAAAATGACATCAAATAATTAAATAATTAACTTGCCAAAATTAAATCTGAAATTATTTTGACTTATTTTATTAGTAGTCCAAATTGTTTTCCGAAATTATTTGGATTCTACAAACAAAACAAGCATTTCTAGGTGGTTTTCAAGTATTCATTAATATAAGCAACATAGCAAAACCGAATTATTTGCCAAAATACCATTTTTTCCAAAAATAATTTAGGAGACCATCTTTACCTCTGTTTTCCACATTTTTTATTTTCTCGTGTCAAAGGCCACGTGATTCAGCACTGTCCGAAGACTTCACGCAAAATTTATCAGACTTGGGCACGTGATTTTATCGAAAAGTCGTTTAAAGTTTCATAAATCGATTTTTAACCATAACGATAAATTTTTGGATCGCAAATAGGACAAATCATGTGATTTCAGTCTTTAATTGGCGTGCACTGACCGATATGGAGTACGTATTCAATACTACTTTAAAGTTTATCTTTTGAACATATCTGGACTCAATTTATGAGGATAAATAAGTGTTTATTATATGGAGCTTGATAAGATGCAAATATAGCTGATTAGAATTTCTTTGCTATAACGATATAATTACATCTCGATCTACATGTGAGCAACAGTTTATAACAAAAAGAAAGAGAGCTGGATGATAATCAAGAAAATCACAGACGAGCATCATGTAAAGAGTGTCCATTGTATAAACTAAGAAGAGCAAAACAAGAGGAAACAGCATCAACTGGAAGAGACCCGGCATCAAGACCCTATCAGTATGCTCGCTTTGCAGCTTGGTTACACAGATTGTGGTTGCCCACCGAGACCACATTGTCATGGTAATACTCGAGCATCTGCTGCCAACGAATTTTCTCAGGACATCCTTGCCATCAACACAGTTTTCATTTACCACATGCAAGGGCAATGTTTAGTATAAAACTGACGATGAAGAACGAACGAGCGGCGAGCCGGATGCGAGAAAGAGGCACAAGGCGAAAGCAATGCTAGGTAGCGATCACACCACCAACTCTTATTTCGCAGCCATAAGGAGCTGTATCAGACTATTTGTGATCCGCGAAAAAAGAATCACAAATTCTTTGCGAATACGTGGTTCATGGCAACAAGTACTGATGATGCGATCTATAAGGGAGAGACATTTATCAGGTGATTGATTGTTGATAGTAAGGCTTCCCCTTCCCCCTACCTGATTCAATGTTAATATAAAATTTAACATATTGATTATGCACACCTGATTTTCTTTGGATCCCCTTCCCCCAAAAAAATCACCTGATAAATGTCCATATCTTCACATATTAGGCGGGAATAAGCGAATAATTGGTAAAGGGTACGAGATAAAAAGTCAATCGTACTAAAAAAAAAAGCGATATAATGTCAATGATGACGAAAACAACAATAACAACGATAATAAATAGAAAGATTTCGGTCAAGTTATCAAAGATGTCGACGAATTTACTCGTACCATTACTTCTAATGATCCTTTACACCTTCAACATAAGGACTCAACCACGCATCCACCTCTTCAGCAAAAAGAACCATAACTTGGAGAAACAAGTTAACAATGATTCTAAGCTAATGTGAACGTTTATGAGAAGAATGAGTGATCCCTCACGAGAACCAAGTAGGCTCTTAACGTTCATTTGCTAGTTCCCGGTGTTCTGAGACTTGTTCGACTCAGTCTTCCCTTTACTGATCTAATATTACGCACAGCTCAGGAACCCGCACGAAAACGTAACTCTATGCGACGTGCTCAGACACGGATGTGATACCGCATCCGCCGTCTTGTTGATAAGTGCCCACCGCAAAACAGCTGGGGCTGTTTGTATGCAGTGAATAAATTCGTTACATACATGTACTAATTGATTTCGTCTATATCCTCATGTTTTAGGGAAATATAAACGGGATACAAATCTGAATCCAAAATTTAATCCGCTAATATTGATATGATAGATGAAGCTCTAATCAATCATATTAAACTTTGGATTTAGACTTGTACCCCGTTTATATTTCCCTAAACGTGGGGATATTAACGAGGTACTAAATTTATTAATTTCTCTCGAGATAACGATAAACAAGAAGTTGGATTAAGTGTGATAAAATTACTGAAGCCTATTTAATTTTAAAATTCCAAAATATATTATTATATCGTATATGTCACTGCACAAATTAAAATAGATACAATTATAAATAATCTATCTTTTGAAAAGATCGTCAAGCTTCTTTTCCAATTTATCAAATCGAGCGCTTAAGTCAGCATTAGTGCTAGCGCTAGTATCATTATGCCTTGTTTCTATTTTTTCTAATTGACTCTCAATACGTTTAAGCTTTTCTTCTAATTCCTCGTATGTGTCACGTTTAAGCTTTTCTCTTAATTGTTCCTCGTTTGTGTCATTTGTTTCTATTTTCGTTAAATGACTCTCAATACGTTTAAGCTTTTCATCTAATTGTTCCTCGTATGTGTCAAGTCGATTGCTTTCTTTTATTGTTTTCCGTAAATTTTTCCATTCGTCAGTTGGAATCGCATAGTAAACGTTTCTATGTTGAGCAAATGCGTCTGTATAGTTGATCAATAGCTGAGCACGCATCTGAATTACTGCACGTTTTTCTAAAGTCGATTCACCAAGTGCATTTCTAAATAGTTAATTGTACATGATTAATTTGAGCAATTGTCGTTATTAGACCGTAAGAGTAATAAAAAGATAAGTTACCCCATCAAACTAATCAATAAATTCTGCAGAAGAGTAGCCAAAAATATACTGGCAATCACAGTGACCACATCAACCGGCCAAAAATTCCAATTTGTAACCTGATCCCAGCGACCACTTATCCAAAAATATACGGCTTCGACTGATTTATCCCAAAAATAGTAGTAATTGTCTGTTCGATCATTCCAATCCACGATTTGATGGAAAGTGAAATTAGGATAAGTTGCGTTGTTTACGAGAGGTTGTGTAGTTCCATCAGGATTCTCTGTTATGAAAGAACCGTTAAATGTTGAGCTCTGGGGCAGAATACCAATCCCTGGAGCGAATCGTAAAAGCAATAACCTAAAAGCAAAAGTAAATGTATTAGTGCTTGAGCTTTGCAAAGATTGATGTGATACCTACATAGTGATTGCAAATCCTGTAACAATAAACAGCTGAGAAAGGAGAAATCCAAAGATATTCACAGTGACATTGATAATTATGAAAATGTATTTTCCAACCACTGATAAAATTAGCGTTAGCATTAGAATAAACTCTCATAAATGAACGACGATAAATAAACAAATGCTTACATGGTAAAAATCTCATTTGGAAAAACTAAAAAAATCATGTAAATGAACTGAAATTATTTGGATAATAGCGATAACAATTACATGTAGTTAGACCACTTACAAATACAATCCAAAGTAATAAACCAGATAGTGCATAAAAGATCACTTGACTTTTACACTGACGAGGGTGTTCGTGGCAATAATTAGATTCCACTCGGGATTCAGATACTTCTAGTAGGCCATCATAATGCAAATTGACTGATATCATCATTGCGCAGCCAATTAGTGGTATAGTCGAACCAGCAAGATCAAAAGTATATAAAACTATTGGCAACAGCTGTTGATTAGCTAAATAGCGTCCTCCCTTTATTTTTCCAGTTAATAATATATAAGCAAATCCACACATTATCGAAGCAGCAGGTATAAATAGGGGCCCAATGGGTTGACTATACACAAGCTTGCTCAAATGTCTGTAGCTTAGCCAAATGAATACAATTGCATACGCAATATATAATAAGAATCCAATAATAACAAAAACTCTGGCATAGTGGCGCCATTGAAAGTCGACAACTGCTTCTATTGATGGGTTGTCGTAAATTTCCCCCGTCTTATCATGAATTATGAGCTTAGTGAATGGGCTTTCATCGCCATGATTTCGCTCGAGTAAGACTAAATTCAGGAAAAAGTCACAAGTATTATCAACTACTGCCTTCCAAATTCTTTTACTCGTAGATGTCACGTCACTTGTCATTAATCCTGGAAGAGGAACTTGACAATATTTCATATTCGTCTTTCGATATCTAGATATCTGGTTCTTTTTTTCGCTGGTTAATTTCTCGTATTCTTGTTGACGATAAGTATCAAAAAGGTTAAATTCGGCATGGAAAGAGTAAACCCTATTTAGATCATTATTTGGTCGATAAAACTCCCATGATTGATCAAGAGGAATTTCTTTAGAATGAAAAACGTCACTGTTCATTAATTGTATGACGTTTTCTAAAAAGAGAAAACATGATTTTGTTAATTAATAATTATATACCGTATAGAAAAGATACATGTACTGTATACTTACTTGGAAATTTTGTAATCAATTCTGGCAAAACTTTAGTGACAGTATCCATCCAATTCGGATTATCTACAGCCAAAGTAGAATAATAATCGAGAAGTTTCTCTACCGTATCATGCTGATTTTGCTTTATTGCAATCAATAAGGCAGTAGGATGCTCATCATCAATCGGAGCTTTTGGTAAAAGGAAAACTGAATTGAATTTGAATGACGTATTTGTTTTGTCTTGAACATTTTGCCGAGGAATATGTAATCGATCTTCAGGTTTAGCTAAAATACATTCAAGTTGTTTTTGAAAATTCACTCTAATTATCGTTGCTACGATACGAAAACGAGCGTCTAACATTCTAAAATTATCTTGATTTTTGATTGCTTCTTCGATGATATTTGACGCTACTTTTTTTATTGAACGGAATAATTGTTCATATTTATCTGGCGTTTCTGCTTTTTTTGGCGACTCTGAATTCTTTTTATAATCTTCTTCCTTTTGTTTAATTATTAGTTTTAATGCACTGCACATTCCTACTATAGATGTAGCTTGTGGGTTAATTGCGATGTTGTGTTGAAATCCAGACTCTTTTTGATTAGCACGCGATTTTAATGTTATTTTTACTGATTGATCGACCTCGACAAACTCATACTTGGATATAATTGGATCGGTAACATATTTGGAAAAAGCTGTTGGAATCGACCAAATATTAATAAGAGCATATTCTTTTCCATCTCTTTTCGATATTTTCACTATTTTCTCTCCTTCTATTTCTATTTTTATTTCGTCGATTTTCTTTTCGTCGCCGTTGCCGTCATTGTTGATTATGCTTTCCTTCTCTCCAACGTTGTCTTCAAGTGGTTGAGATACATTTTTCTCGGTTTTTTGATGATTATCTTCAGGATTTTGCTTGTTATCATCAGGGTTTTGATAAAAAAGTTTGATCAAACCATCCTTTTTATAGAAGATGCTATTCTTCTTTACAAAAAATTCAAGATCCTTTATCTTACATTTTTCGTTGTACGTTTCTTCATACTCTAACTTGTAATAACTTTTAAGTGATGCATTTTCCAGATTTATTTCCGTTAATTCCAAGTGATGGTCTTTCGCAATTTTTTCCAGTTCGACAGTTTCACAATGCTCTTCAAAGTTTAAAGTTCCTGGCATATTCCAAATCCAAATTTCTTTTTCAATGTCTTGGCCTTGTCCGACCACTGACGACGGTGATTTCTCAAAGACGATTAAAAGCTTTGTATTATTCGAGATAAATGCCATAAACCTGATTTTTGCATTGTCGTCAGGTAATTCATGTGTCACTAATTCGATAGAGTTTGGCATAAAATAAACAGTAAAAGAATTGGAACCAAGTGACGCTGCTAAATATTGCTGTTTTTCTTCATTATTAGACACTGCGAATACCGGTAAAACTACTGTATGTTTGATTTTGTCATCGTTTTGCTTTTCAGATTTTTGTTCGGTCTGACTGTTGGAATCTCCTTGAGACTCTTTATCGGTTGTGTCATCGGGTTTCTTCTCTGGAGACTTCGCTAGAATTTTATTGATATTAAATAGCCTATCAAGTTCACCTGTAGTAAGATCATAGCGTTCAATTTTATTGTTTCGATTAATAGAGTATAAATAATGGTCCTTTACGAAATTGTTTAATTTATGTTCCACTACGTTTTCGGTGTATTTCAAGTTTTTTGCAAACTTGTTCATTGGAAGTGGATAATTATGGTCAGTATTTATTCTCTTTTTTCTTCTAACTTTGCCAATATTAAAAAGAGCCACTGTTGACCAGAAAGAATTGGCAAATCCCGTGTTAAAATGAATTGCACTATTGCATCGCATTATCCGAAAGTTGTTTCGCCTTAAAATGACAAGTTCTTCGTTGTTTAAAAATTTGATAATGCCATTTCCGGTTCCTGTAACATGGATTGGTCGAACACTCCTGCTCGGGTGATGATATACAAGTAAAAATACACTTTTTTCAAACAATGTATAAGAATAATGAGAACCAGCTTCGTGATTGAGCTTGTATATCCCTAATTTTTTGTCCGGTTTATGTTCGAGGATTGAAAACTTATAAAAAGAAAATGCGATCCAACAGATTTCTTCAGAACTATCAATGACCGCAACCGACCAGTTAAAGTTAAAGTCTGCGTTTGTTTCAAAAAAGCCGAGGTCGTAATGGATTGAATTCGTGGTTTGGTTGTTACTTTCGGATGATTTTTTTTCTATTCTGTGATATCCGATGTATATTTTTGATTCTTTAGGGATAGAAGTAGAATCTGGATTTTCTTCTTTGAAAAAAAAAATCAATCGATGAGAAGCTAATAAATTAGAAATCTCTTACAAAAAAATATAAATAATTAAGCTACCTATCTCTTTTTTCAGAGTAATAACACTTTTTCCAACTTCACTTATTTCTGTTTTGATAATTGTACCACTTTTACTGTCGAAATCGCTTTCAATTTTGTCACTGTTGGCTATAAAGTAGTAAGATAAAAAAATATAAACAATATTCAATATATAGCAAAGCCAATATAATTAGATTAGCGTTAGCGTTAGTTTTTTTCTTACCGTTACCGTTACGATTGACATGAAGATCATACCCATGTTTGTTAGTTTTAGGTCTTCTGAAATCTTAATACGAAAAGATAAATACATATCGATATATATAAAATCAATGTTTACCGTTTAGCGCTGTATATAGTATCCCCAATAATAATATCCCCCAAATTCTCTATAAAATATACCCCTTAAATATAATAATACTCGCTTTCATACACAATACCTATGGGTACTATTCAATTTATAAACTACAATTTTTGAATAAGACCCTGGATGTTATATACAGTGCTGAACGGTAGTCAATAATCATGAAGTAGTATTAACCAGCAGTTTTAAACGAAAATCCATGACTCAATGATCGAGCACCAGGTTGTGGTGGCGGTAGATCAACTTGTTGAACTAAAATTTCACTTAAATCATCATTTTTAGACATTTTTGCGCGCGGAATGGTCAAATAAATATCATAAGATGGAATTGATTTTTTTTTGATAGATTCTTTTTTTAAGCAAAAAGGATAAGCGTTGAAATGCGCTCTTCGCGTATTTATAACAAGTTAACGTACACCTCGTGCTCCGTTTGTTTAAAAATAATGATGTCGTCTGCTTGCATTTTTAGGAGATTGTAACGTTACAAATCAGTCGTGCCAATAAACGACGATCTCTAATAAGTACGTATGTAGTTACGAACTGTTGAAATTTTCAATAGGTTTGATATGTTTGCATGGTTGTTATTGAAAGTTTCAATAGGTTTTGCATGAAATTAACAGCAAAAACGCCAAGTCTTACACAAATAAACCTAGATCCTGCATTCATCCTGTTTTTCTTCCCGCATATACGTACACGTACAAAGTGGCGTATTACAAATTTGGACTGTAAATCAGATTTTAAGTTCAACTGGTCGGCCATAACGATAATGTGCATTGTCAGATTCTTTTGAGATTAATCTCTTAGATTGGAATAAATTTGCTACGGCGTTACACTATCGAATATGGTATGGTTACAAAAGCATTATTTGATATAAATAAGGGTTACGCTATTGGCTTAGGATATAGAGTATAATGTTACTGTAGTAGCATTAAATTCTTCCCTACGTGATATGGTGCATAAAACCTAAAGTCATCAAACGTTTGTATTTTTATAAAATGTATAAACTTCTTTACTAAGAAGTAAATATAAAATTTAATCCGTGAATATGCTCAGAAAGAGACTATTCTATAATATTCACGGATTAAATTTTATATTTATTTCTTAGTAAAGAAGTTTATACATTTTATAAAATACAAACGTTGATGACTTTAGAGTTTATGCACCATAATCTTTCCAAAATTAGTAAGTTCTATTGTAAACCAAATTTGGAAATATTTCATTATGAATGAACATTACTTTTTTTTCCTATGTTATGAATATCCCGTCGTTCTTCAAGATTAACAAAATCAAGATAATTATCGCGACAATTTATAAATTTCAAATACTAAAAGAAACTACATGTATTAGTTTGTAAAGAAAAATAATTATTTTAAGAAATAAAATCTAATTACAATATTAATTATTAATAATTTATTAAAAAATTTAAATATCATAATACTATATTAATTATATCAAATAATATAATACTAATTATTATACTTTAAATATTTTTATAGTATTTTTTAATCTTATTAAATAATTGTTTAAATATTAAAAAATGACTTTTTCATTTCTAAGTAATACAAAATTATCTTTTTATATAGTAATAATAAAGAAGGATGAAATACTAAAACAAATTTATTAATAAAATACAGTGACAATCAGAAATAATGCAACAACATCAAAATTTATTAATCAAACATAGTAAAATATAGATGTTTCTCTTTATATAAAAGTTTTCAATTTTACTAATAAATATTTTTTATTTTTATATTAAAATGAAGATAATATCACATTTTTTTCAGATTTTTTAGAATAATCTAATAAAGCTGTTCTAATTACATATAAAGTCAATTATTTTTTTATATGTTTTAATTATAAAAAAATAATTGATATTATATGCAATTAGAACAGCTTTATCAAATTAAATCTAAAAAATATGTGATATTATCTTCATTTTCATGTAAAAATAAAAAATATTTATCAGTAAAATTAAAAACTTTTATATAAAGAGAAAAATTCATATTTTACTATGTTTAATTAATAAATTTTGACATTGTTACATTATTTCTGATTGTTATTATATAGTAAAAATATAAAAGATACAAGTTTTTTACTTTCTATAAAAGTTTTAATTTTATTAATAATATTTTTCATATTTATACTATATTTTATTAATAAAATTATTTAAGTATTTAATTGTTACTATATAATATTATACATTTTTACTAATTATAAAATTAGCTAATTAATATAAATATAATGCATAAAATCTAAAGTTATTAAATATTTGTATTTTATAAAATATATAAACTTTTTTATTAAGAAATAAATACAAAATTTAATCTATAAATATTATAAACTGATTTCTTTTTAAGCATATTTACAGATTAAATTTTATATTTACTTTTTAGTAAAGAAGTTTATAAAATATAAATATTTGATAACTTTATATTTTATGTACTATAAGAGTTTAAAGAGGAAATTAAATAAAATATTATAAACTGATTTCTTTTTGAGCATATTCACAGATTAAATTTTATATTTACTTTTTAGTAAAGAAGTTTATAAAATATAAATATTTGATAACTTTATATTTTATATATTATATATTATAAGAGTTTAAAGAGAAATTAAATAAATAAAAAAATATATTTAAGTTTTATTCCAATTTTTACTAAAATTATATAGTTTAAAAATAAATAAAAAAAGATAAAATAAATAAATTTTTAAGTAAGTAATATTTTTATTAGTATATTAATTTTTATATTAGTAATATATATTTTAGAGCTAAATAAATAATATTTACAAAATAATAAAAACTTTTTTTATTTTGTTTTTATGATATTTTTAAGTAATAGATATAATATAATAAAAATTAGTTAATAACAAAAATATTAATTTAATAATTTCAAAAATAATATTTTGATATAAGCTTTAAAATATATAGTTAAAAGAGAAAAGTAAAATATTTAAATATTAAAAATATTTATTTTATTAATGATTATTAGAAATCTAATTGGTTTTTATTAAGATATTTTAATTGATTCTCTATTATAAATTAGATTTATATTGTAATATATGCTTAATATAGATCATTTTATTAAGATTTAGCATGTGTTCTATTTCTATATTTCAATTGGTTCTTCTCATGTATTTAATTTTTCTTTGTATTATATTGGTATTATCTTGTGCTATATTAAGTTTATTTCATGTTTAATTAGTTTTATTTGTGTAATAGCAAAGGAATACTAATAGTATTTTAGTATTGTAGCATGTGTTGGCACTAGATTTAAATGTGCAACACTTGGCAAATTGGAGGAACATTGTGTGTTACTCATGATACATG